TAGTAAGAAATTTTCTGACCAGGCTCAATTTTGTGGAAAAGTTTGAGTGGACCAGTCCTTCCACCGTAGAATGCAGACCTAATATTAATTGGGCCATCATCCAAATAATTTCTAAACATTTTCCGCATTTCGTAATCTTTTGAGACCATATTTCGTATTTCACACTCCCAATAAACTTCCACATTCACTCCCAAATTCTTGATAAAATTTAACCGTTGTTGGTCTTTCTGTCTCTGTTGTCCTGCTGTTAGACCTGTTGGGAGTTTAATCTCGTCATCGGGGTAGCACTTAATACATCCGTGCCAACAACACCCATTTACCTCAATAGCCAGTTTCTTTTCCTTGACCCACCCGTCTAATTTATATTTACCCATCTTCTTCTCTCCATTTTCTGAGTGTGCTGTCCTAATGTTGACCATATTCTTTTCAGAGTACCACTTGAGGAAGCGGAGGGCCAACAAACTTTGATTGTCCACATTGTCGTATCCTTTTTCTGGTACAATCCCAACATGTTGTCGTTTGAGGTGGTTCATGCGGAAATGCTTCATGCAGGCTGAAGCTATAGTCATGGACTCCCGCAAAACATCAAGTCCATTAGAAACATCCAGAAATTCTTTTCTGAAGGCAATGAGTGCAGCCATTAAGATATCCACATCGTTGGTACAATAGGCTGCTAGTTGTTCTTCTAAATTGAATGGCTCGTTTTTGTGTTGCTCGAACCATTTATCGAATTGAGCCCTCTTTTCAGGCATCATCCCATTAGCAAGGTAGTCTTCCTTAGTCGGGAAGATTTCCTTCCCATAATTCTTTGGGTTGTTGGCAAGATGAGGGAAGAAGGGTTTATCTTCCACTTTAAGGGCAAAGGCTGGTACAAGAGAAGCCAAGGGCATAGGCATTAAATTATATGTGTCGTGGAAGATGATCCAGCATTTTTTAGAATTTTTCACCTTCATTTCATACATTTTGTTGCCATTCTTGATCATATCTGGAGTTAGTCCCTGGAGATATAGTGCTTTGAAGACTAGGACCATATCAAACCTTCCTCCAAAATGAGAGAAGGCTACCGTATCAGTAGAAAAGTTAGTAATCCAAGCCACAAAATCAGTTAGAGGATCATTAGTAACATTCTGTTGATCGACTTGAGTGTTGGAAAATGGTCTGTGGGAGAAGGTTATAGTTCGTTCTTCTCCGCAAACAGTACAATCGTTGTTTCCGTTACTAATACACTCGGGGCAGTTGATTTTTGCAGATATAAAATTCACTTCGTGTAGTTTCCCTTTTTCGCCTTGCCTGTGTTGCATGGTTTCAAAGTCAAAGGCGATGATTCGGTAGGGTTTTGGCTTCCTTGGAGTTAGAGGTTTAATGTAACAACCTCTTTTTGGGTCATGGAAGCTAAAGCAGGTGGTGCAGTAACGTTCTGAACAAACATGCCCACTGCGCCCATTCTTGTTGTTGTCCTTCACGTACCATATCACTCCACATTTCTCACATTTCTTAGAGTTGTGGCAAAAGTTAGATTTGAGATGATGGGTGTAGCACTCTTCATTATTAAATTCCTTAGAACAACCATTGCACCGTTTGAAGTAGTTATCTAAAGGCTGGCATGGGTAATTGGGTCCAATCCTAGAGCAATTTTGACATTTTGATGTGCAGGTGATAGAATGATCCTTTGGGCGGTTGTAAATTATCTCACATGATAGGCAATAAGGTTTACCAAATAAATCGCTTGCCCTTCTAACCCCATCAAAATGATTATTGTTAAAATAAAGAAGAATTGGAGTAGTGTAATTTTCATACCCATATTTAAAAATAGGTTTCTCATCCAATTCTCCAAAAATAAAAACTTTAAACTGGCCTTCATTCCTTGAATTCCAATAATCAGTCACTTTGGGCACCCATTCTTGAGCATCATAACTAGCTTGGTCAAGAGGTGCTCCTACATTTGCCATCAGATCCTTCGTATCCTGTTCGAATCGATGGGCCATTCCATATCGGCTGTGCATGTAGTTGTAAAATTTACTTCTAGACCAGGAACATATTGAATATACATATGAAGAAATCAGGGCATAAAATAGGCAGAAGTTGTCGGAATTCCGGATCTTGATCAAAGCCTTGTCGTTGATACGACGAGTAGACTTGCTACCGCTACCTTGAATAGTTCGTGTTGTAGGTAGATTCTTCTTATCTATGGTGGTAACGGAGACGTTGAAGGGTTCGCCCCAGAGCATACCAGTGTCTTGCTTTTTGGATTGGGCAACTTTAAGGAATTGATTAAGAATTGAATCCACCGTGTTGGGAGTGATTTCACGGATTGGGATCCAAATATCAGATTCCAACAGTTGACTGCTAATGGTACAGCCGAGTTGGTCAGGATTGAGTTGATTGTCCCGGCTGGTCTCTAGTGTCTGGTCAATACATTTTTGAAATAGATCCCTAAGCAATCCCTCTGGCTGATCGGGTAAACCAGATATTAAAAATTTAGTAGAAAGTTTGGTGAGATTAAATTTACGGGTAATTTTGGTTTCTTCCCCTAAAAGTTTTAAAAAATCACCTCCTCCTGATTGTAAATCAAGTAGATTGTTGATCATATACATCCTTGATTTCTTCGAAGGTGGAGGAGCCATTGTTCAATAATAAAATGAAAATGAAAAGACTAATTCAAATAAGCAAATTTGTAAGAATTTTCAAGAATGAAGAAGGAAATCTAAAATCCTCTACTTTTAAGGATCCCCAAAATGATTGATGTTTGTCAGAATAGGAATCTTGGTGAAATTATGAAAAAGAAAATTTTTATGCAATACAATCTTTTATTTTCAGTCGGGAAGAGGAGTTAAAGAAATTTGCATAAAAAGGGAAAAGGGTAATTGTATTTCGTAATACTTTTAAACAGCATATACCAGTCGGGAAGAAAAGGAAAAGCAAAAGAATTTAGGAAGAGCGATAAATTTTGAAAGCAAAAATTTTTAAGAAAAAGAAGGGAATAATTTTAATTTGCATAAAGTATAAGAATTTTAAGGAAGGAAAAGCTAAAATTCAGGAAATACTGCGAAGTGAAAAGAAAAGGGGAATTTAAAAGAATTTTTGGGTATAATTTTCAATTTTAGGAGTAGTTTTGTAGTAAAAGCTGTAAACGACGACGACGAGTAATTGTTGAATATTTATAGTTATTTTTTAATTTTTACTTTTATTACTTTTTATTCAATATTTCCATTAGTTTATTTATTTCTATTAATCAATTTAGTATTTTATTTTTATTCTTATTTATTAATTTTGGGGAGGGTAATAGAGGGATGGTAATTGTTTAATTTATACATACTTTTTTATATTATTTCCATTTATTTCTATTACTTTTCCTTCTTATTCTCCATTTTTTCCTTCCTACAGTATTTTTTTATTTACACCCTTATTTTATTTTTAAAAAAAAGCTTTAAAATTTTTAAAAGAAATGTTGCGCAATCTTTTGGGAAGAAAAGAGGTCTGCGGGAAATTTACATAAATTGGCAAAAGTCTATAGGTTTTGGTTAGTGGGAGTGTGGGGGAAGAAGAAAGAAAAGCTTCAATAGCTTTTGGTTGTGAGGGGTGGGTGGGGGAAGAAAAGGAAAATAAAAGCATTCTAAGTTTGGGATGGGTACCTTTTATTAGAGAGGGGTGGGTGGGGGAAGAAGAGTCTCAAAACCTTTTGGTTGGTGGGGAGGGGGAATGACTTAACACCTTTTAATTTTGATTGATTAACTGACAGCCCCTTCTGCCCCCGCGACACGGAGGGGGGGTTAACTACTGAGGAATTCTTGGCCATCTAAAATTGAAAAAAATTTTCGACTGTTTTGCTATAAAGGCGGAATTGAATTTTGTATATTCACAGTAGGGTTAGTCAAAGAAAGCGTAGAGACAAACGGGACCGGTATCCAGTCCTTTCTTTGCCTTTATTGGAGTGACCGGGACGAGACCGTAAAGAGGGTTTTGCCACTTCACGTTTTAACAACTAAAAACTTAAAAGTGGCACACAGTTGAAGAGAGCGGAGCCAAGATTTGGCGTCAACCGTTTGATGTATATTTTTTAGATCATATTTTTAAAAAATATTACAGAATTTTACTTCCTTAAAGTCTACGGCTTTTCAATGATGACTAACGATTTTTTAAATATTTTAAACATTAGAAATTTAAATAAATTTAAAATGCTTATATTAAATAAAAAAGATTGTTAAACGAGTATAGATACAGTTAAGTAAATAAGTTTTGACGTATTTTATATGGAGACCGTCCTAGAGATCAACAAACTTAATTTGGATAACTACTTGGAAACTTGGGAATTGGGAATTGTAACTTGTATCTTGGGAATATACTCTCTAAAAATCAAGATTAGAGTTAGGGCTGTTCAAGACGGAAGATTTTCAGTACTTAAGGCGGATATACCCCGAGGTACTTTCGAACTTTGGCTTTGTTCAAAATCGGATATGTTCGAAAATCGAAGTTGCTCAACTCAAGACAAGATCGAAACTTTAAAAAAATCTTGAATCAAGAGCAAGACGAGTTTGCTTGCTTCAACCGGAACATCGGTTCACTTCTTGGTCTCTAAGGGTGTTTTTTCTTCTTGGTCTTTTTTACATCTTGGCCATCTTTTCTTCATCTCTAAAGATGTTCCATAAAGTACTTAGTTTATCTATAATGTGCTTATCTTTATGCTTGCCTTCTGATATGGTGATCTTTTGCGTGACTCAGAATATCTCTCATTCATTTAAGCATTTTTTAAAATTATTTTTTAATTTTTTGAATATATTTTGGGAAGAAATGCGAATGATTTTTGAAATGCGTCATAAAACTTTTTGGGTGCTTCTCCTTTTGTTATATCAGCTAAATTATAATGGCAACTCATATAAAATATTTTTTGGCTATAACTTATTTTACTTTATTCATAACCAAAAATTTCCAATAAAAATTAAATAATGATTTTTAATTTAATATTTCTATTCCTTCTCGTGTCAGGTATTTTAAATTAGTGGTGAGAGAAGGAAAGAAAAAATTAAATTTTTTAGATTTAAAAACGGTTTTAACTGAGGATGAAGAATGTATGAATGATGAAGCTCGTTTAGCCGTTTTACATGCCCATAATAAATACAGATCTAAATTGGCATGTGGGGAAGTTACAGATGCTTCGAACAAAACTCTGCCTGGGGGAATATTTCATAAATTTGTTAGTTTTTTGGAGTTTATTCTGAAAGTCATGTTCCACTCTGATCTAGTGGTTTTGGCATTTTCCTCCCTGATCATGTTCCTTTCTGATAGAAAAAGTTTTACCAAAATGAGTTTTATTGAAACAAAATTTGGTAACCCCGTATTTCATAAAGAATCCCGGACGATTCTTTATGAAAGAGAGAACTACTGGTAATAAGTTATATTTTATTTGAATAGATTTACAACGTAACAATGGAAAAACTTTCACAAAATACCGCTAATTGTTGTGAAATGAAGCATTCTAATGATACTTTATATGGCGAAAATTTATATGCAAGTAGCTATAAAATGAATATTAGTAAGTTTAGTTATCAGCTACAGATCGAAAAAGCCTTTTTTCTCTCCGGATCAGCTGTTTTTACTTTTTTGATTTTCTGATTCCGCGAAATTTTCCCGTAGAAATTTTTCCCTGTCCCCTAGTACCTATCTTAAATTGAGGTGCCTCTAGTCTAGTATTGCGTTATTATAGTTCGAAACGAGACAAAAATCTCGGTTATCTAGATAAATATTTTCGAGATATCTTATTTTTGGACGACCCTCCCAGTCCGATTTTTAGGTTCATATTATAGCTAGTAGAGATAGAGCAGGGCCTGAGCCCAGGCCTGGGTTTTTCTTGTACCCAGAGTCCAGGTCCAGGCATTTTTTGACCTTCCTGGGTTTTTCCTGGACTACAGGCCCAGAACCAGCCCGGGTCAATAAATCATACCTAGCCCCAGGAACAGGCCCAGGCTTTTCAAAAATCTCGATCACTATTAGCTAGGCCAGAGTATATCTAATTATTTTTCCAGCTGATGCTTTAATTGCGGCAGTTGATATGTGGTTTGCAGAAAAAGACGTATGTCCAATAGCTGCGAATGATCTGAAGGCTACAGATGCAGTTTGGGATGGTTGTGGACATACTGTCCCCGTAAATACACTAAATTTTCGATCTCTTTAAAAAATAAACTAAATTAGATGATGCAATGGCAATCAACACAGATCTCTTGCGGTTTTCAAATCTGTGGGGAACAAGCATGGTGTAAGGATGAATATAAATGCAAAACAACTACTTTGGTTTCTTGCAATTATTATAATCCGTAAGAGAGATTTTTGAACCTTCTTTCAGAAAATTTTCGATTTTTTAAATTTTTAGAGCCTATGATGGCAATATTGCAATATATAATCCAGGAAATAAATGTACTTGTGATACTGATTGCAAATTATATGAAAATTCTACGTGTGAAATAGACAGTGGATTGTGTAAAGCACCTCTTCATCCGAAATTGGCGAAGAATTAAATTTAAAAAAATAATTTCTTGATATAAAATGGGAGGGATGATTTGGGAAATTTTTAAATTATACATTTAAATGGATTATAACTCAACTTTGAGATAATGAATGATAATTTAATGAGAGTTAATCAAACGAAAGTAACAACCTTCCGAGAATTATTAAACAGAAAAACCTTAGGGTTTTCGAGTAAGGTTGTTGGTTCGATTTTAATTTAACTGAACCTTATTTTTATTAGGGTTTGCGGTTAATATTTAAACCAAAAAAAATCCGATACCCGTAAATACTTGGTAAAGGGGATAAGTAATAGGGGACGGGTAAAAATCAGGGGAAATAATTAGAAAATTTTTTACGGAGAAAAACAGCTGATCCGGAGAGATCAGCCATCTCTGCTGCCCAAAGACAGTTGCTTTATAAACTAATACTAATGGTAATCAGTTGGATCATACTATATAATTAGAGACCGGATTTTAAGATCGATCGATATTACATATTATCGATAATTGATAATATCGGTGCCTAAAAATATCGGTTTCTGATCATCGCCATCTTTCGATATTCTTAACATTTATTATTCAAATTTATTACTTGTTATACTATCATTTGGGTTATAATGAGAGTTGACTGTCCTTTTAATTATTAAACTTATATTTTATTACATAAATTAATTTAATTTGTAAGGTTTAACCAAAAATATTACTTTTAATTATTTATCTGACTTCCTTTTTTTCTTCACACAAATTTAATTAATTTTTTTCTAAACCTCACTTGAATATAAAATTATTTAAAAAAATATACTTATGAAACTATAACTATTTTTCAATAAATTTTATAATTAATAATATTACAAAAAATTAATTATTCTAACTATGCAAATTTAAATATTAAATAAAGATTATGAACAATAAAGGATATGTGTCTTCTTGGTAAAATAATTTGTAATAATAATAATTTTTTTCTATCAAAAACTAAATGAAGAATAACAATTTTTAAAATTAAAATAAAATAATTTTTAGAATGAATTTATAGAATGACCCTCAATTAGTATGTATAATGGGGGAAATTAATATTTGGCTTATAAGTAAAAAGTGGGAGGTGGTGTCATAATAATTCCCTCAGATAAGGAGAAACCTCACTCACTAAACAGTTGGACCTTAAGGGCTGAAGATTTTATTTTATAATAAGACGTATCTTTATGATGATGCAGTATATCCTATGACCGTTTAAATTTTAAAACGCATTTTATTGAGATGTTTCTTATAGTTTTGTCTGAATTTATTTACATAATGCTACGAGATCGAGATTTTTGAAAAGGGCCTGTTCCTGAGTTCTGGGTTTGATTTATTGACCTGGGCCAGATCCTGAGCCTGTAGTCAAGGAAAACCCCAGGAAGGTTAAAAGATGCCTAGGCCTGAACTCTGAGTACAGGAAAAACACAGGCCTTGGTCCAGACCCTACTCTACTACCTATTGGCACCTGCTGGAATCATAGGATACGGACTTCTTTTAAAAATCTAATTGGATATAAACCTTCAATTGTTAGAACCCTTCAACGTGAATATAAGTCATTCCCTTAGTACAGGATTATAATGAGAGTCATCTACATTTATTTAAAACAAAAAAATATTTTCTTGGTATATGCCCCTAATACATATGATAATAAAAAAAATTTTAAATATAAAAATTAATTAATTATATACATAAATATATCACAGCAAAGACTTATCTTGACTTAGAATTTGGTGTGGGAATTAATTTTAAAAAATTTAAAAAAATTTGTGATTACAAACTATTTGGAATGATTATAATTAAATGAATAAAAATTAAAAATTTGTGGATAACGACAATAGTGTGGATTTATTGATAATTAAATTTCTAAAAATTTTTATAGAAATCTTCCAAAAATTTTGGTGAACCCTCTTAGCTAAATTACTATTTAAAAAATTTGGAAAATTCTGGAAAATCTTTGGAGATCCCGTATAGAATCGAGGAAACGTAACGATAAATATGCCCCTAAAATGTACTCCCAAAAAAATATACATCCATTAAATATACCCCCATTTAATTGTCCCAATAAAAGATTCACCGACAATTGTTGTATCCACAAAATTACAATAAAAATATTCTAAAGCTTATTAAAAATATTTTGACAAAAATTATATGTCTATATTAGAAAAAATGACAATAAAAATTTTAAAAAATAACCGGGATAAAAATTAAAAAATATTATTAGATTAGAAATAATTAGAAAATTATTCAAAAAAATTTTTTGTTAGTCTAGCAAAGTAAATTCTAAAAAAATTCCGTATATGCTGAAATAATTACCAAAGGTAAGTATTGTTTCGACCTCTCGAAGGAAGGGTAATTAATAGAAAATTGGGGTAATTATTCGGGAGAGACGGTAATTATTCTGAGCATATACGGCATATTAAAATTAATTATTTTTGAAATAAAAATTTAAAAAAATGTTAAAGAAGTCGCTAAATAAAAAATTGTTAAATGGAAAAAATTCAGCCCGAATTGGTCATTCCTATGAATTGACCCCATAAAATGTAAAAAATCAGAATCAGTTATTAAAAATCCCCATTTAATTATCCCAGAAAAAAATTTTAATTAAAAAATAAAATTTAATTCATTCCTTTTTTAGAAAAGGAAACACGTAAATGAGCATTTTCGGCCAATTTATAATTCTTAAAAAATTTTTTAATAATTTAAATTTATTTTTATTTAAATTTACATGCATAGCAACAAGAAAAGCCACAGCAGTTTCAACATCTTCTAATTGAACTAATGCCATTTTATGGTCTTTTCTGAATTTTTTAAAATTTTTTGGATTAATATTTATTATTTTATAAGGAATTCGGGTAGAAATAAATTACTGTCCTTGATTACCCGAGTAATTATTTTTCAAACCTAAAGCTAAGAGGGGTAATTAATTGAAAAAGGTACTTAGTCGTATTTTGAAATTTTTGGGTGAGAGAAAGGGAGAATTTTAAGGTAGGAAAAATAGCTCCAAACTGATTCTAAAAGAGGAATACTTATTCGAGAGGGGGAGTATTTAATCAAGAATGTATGGTAATCGGTTAATAATTTAATCGGTTACTGATCTAAAGCATAAAAGTCAAAATTCAACCCTTAACAGAACTAATGGGATTTTTAAACATATCTAAGGAAAGAATATCGTTAATAATTGTAATAGATAAATTATTCTTTTAATTAAATTTAAATTATTAAAAAACTGACTGAAAGAATTTAAACTCAGCAATTTTAAAATCTTTAAAAATTTCGAGAATTGCATCCTCATCCATTCCATTTGGGATATTGGAAAGATGCAACGTTGCACATGGAGGGTAAATATTCTTTAAAAAATATGTATTTTAATGGTAGAGACAATCAACCCTCATTTTTAGATATACCCTTGAAACTGAGAGACAGATACCTTATAATGAGAGTGTCTTAAATAGAGGGTATCCTTTAGAGAACGTTTCTTAAACTGAGGTGTATCTAATAAAAAGAATCGGGTTTAACTGTTAACAAAAATAAAATTATTTATGTGTACCATATAATTTTTGCTTCCAGGTTTTTTAAAACGATGAAGAGAAGAATTTGTAAATTCTTTAGTTAAACCAGCATCTGGCTGGCCTAAACAAAATTAATTTTGAGATAATTAATTTTTTAATTTTAGAGAACCCTCTTTTGGCATTTGCACAAGGGTGTGTTTGGAAGCTGTAACTCGAATATTTCGCCCATTCCATTTTAATTTGTCCAAATGTTGAATTGCTTAATTTAAAATAATCTCTTGGTTAATTACATGAATTAGCCATGATAATTTTTCAAATTTATGGGAATTACTAAATTAAAAAATCCTCTATGAGTGGGCTGCTTAATAAAAATAGTTTTGTATGAATTTTGAGACACATCAGAACTATTAGATATAGGGAACAGGGGTGGGTTCAGTCTTGTATCTCGTGATATCTCGTTCTCGTATTTTTTGAGTATCTCGTGAATCTCGTTAATCTCTTGTATCGTATTTTGTGGGACTTGGCCCAACCTGATATGGAATCTCCTACCCTAACATTTCAATGTACCAGTTGAACAAATTCTATTCATAAAATAACAAGAACAATCAAGGGAACAGGGGTGGGTTTTTTTCACAAATAATGAAAATAACTCCTATATGGTCACTCTCCTTCGGATTTATCACTCCCATTAATTAAATAATATTTCTAAATTTAATTACCTAATTGTGCCTGTTGAATATCAGAATATTGTATCAAAGCATTATCCTTCTTATTGAAGAGGATTTTGACTCGAATAACGTCTCCATAGACTCCTAAAGCGTTTAAAATTCGAAAAACTTTTTTTATTAATTTTTAAAATTTTTTTAAATTTTTGAAAGAAATGCTCAAAGAAAAGTAAAAAACAAAAAAAAATATAAAAATACAGAAAAGTTTAAAAAATTTAAAAAATTTAAAATAAAAGCAAAAGCCATTCAAAAAAGATGGCGGAAAGTTCAAGACATACCGAACAGAATGAAAAGTTGCTCTGGAGTCACAGTCTGAAAAAAGAGGAAAAATGCCTTGAGTAGGAAGAAGACAGTAAGAAAATAAAGAAGAAAAAACATTTAATTTTAAAAATTTTTTTATTTTTCTAATTTTATTTAAAGGTAAATAGTCTGCAAATATAATTTTTGTGAAATTATAGAGAAGGAATATCCAACTGAATTAGTACTCCCCCTTAAGTAAGATTAGTACACCCCTTTAACTCCCCATGAAATAGTACTCCCCCTTTAATTAAAAAATAATAATTGTCCTTCCTGCCTATGGAGGAAGGTTGAAAAATAGTCCTCTCAGAAGAAAAATTTATAAGACATTGGAAGGAAAAATGGAAAATTGGTTGGTGCCAAATTCGAAGTATTCAATTTTTTAGTTAAATAAGTATTAGTTAAGTCCGTTATGTTTTTCTGGAAATAGATTTTATTTTCATTTGGGTTTAATACTTAAAGTGTTGGATTCTACATATGATTTGGATGATGTAAAAAATTCATTGGATGGGAGATGGAATAGGGACCGAATTTTGAATCGAGCCCTTCATGAACTAGGGTCTAAATTAGCCGAATGTAAGGCTATCCAACCCAAAGATGTCTTACCGTATATACTTTATTAATTACCCTGGGTAATTATTGTTTCGATCTGTCGCTGGAGGGGGTAATAAATAGAGGTAGTGTAATTATTTGAGGGAGAGTATAAATACAGTATATATCGTATTCTTTATTCTTATTTTTATCAATTCTAAACACAAAACAGTTATTATGAATTTTTGCTAAGACTAACGGCTATTTGTTGGTACCGTTTAAAAGCATTTAAACAACAAAAAATATTTGCAGACTATAAAATACCCAAAAATAATAAATTTGCTTTAAAAACACAAGACAGGAGAAATTGGAAATTCGTTTTCAATTTTAATAATAGTATTAAAAAAGTAAAAATATGAGCGGAAATTTTGAAAAACACTGACATTAAATTTTATTAAAGTCATAAAAGAATTTTTTTAAAAAATAAGCAAAAAAATTATTGAAAGGATGCAAAAAAAGGGTTTTTAAAGGATTCTGATTTTTGGGGAATTTTAATTAAACACTTAATTCTCTACTAATTTAAATTACTTACAGCCTCATCCAAATTCGAAACAAGAACAACAGGTGTATTAACTACCCCAGATTGGAAGGCTGTATTCAAAACTATTCCAGTTAAATTATTTGATAATAATTGTCCACCACCCATTAATAATTCTTAAGAAAAAGATTTTTAGTAAAGTTTTTTTCTCAATATTAGCTAGTTCTTAGATCAACCATTTTTTTACCAAGTATTTTAGGTTTAGGATTATTTGAAACTAAAGTTGTACGAGGTCGAAGCCTCCCAGAGGCATAGGTCCTTGCCAATTGTCCAAGCTCGATCCGGAATCTATGTCCTCGGTCCATGCCAAGAAGCTAGCCGAGACCGAGGATAAATATACATTCCTAAGAATTGACTTTTTGGAAAAACTAAAGTTGTAAGAGGTCGAGGCCTTCCCACAGGCATAGGTCTTCGCCAATTTTGCAATCTCGGTCTCGGAACCTATGTCTTCGTTCTCGCCAAGAAGCTAGCTGAGGACCGAGGATAAATATACATCACTAGCAGGGCTTTCCGCAACTGAAAAATATTTTTTGCAGCCGCAATCCGCAGTCCTTAATTTTTATTTTAAAATCCGCAGCCCTGATCCCTAGGAATTGTCTTTTTGGAAAAACTAAAGTTGTACGAGGTCGGGCATACCCGAAATCTATAATCTAAAAGAAAACATTCAAAATTAACCATTATTAGGCTGTAAAGCCATTTGCCCATTAAACGGAAATTGTGTATTAGCAGTTCCATTAGAAGTATTAACATTAGCTGCCAATTGTTGCGCAGCTACAGCCGCAGCTGCAGCAGCCCCAAAAGGGAGGAGTGCCCCAATTTGTTGTTGTTGATGATGTCCCCCAGTTAATTGGGTATTTTGTAGAATTAATTGTAATTTTTGTTCATAGGTTAATTCACCGGAAGGCAAATTCGGATTTGTATAATCCCGACTTTTGTCATTATTATATTTTACATTTAAAGTGTTTAATTTACTAAATTCAATACGCAACTTTAAAGGAAAAATTTTTTTGAATTTTGAAAAAATTTTAATTTACAGTGCAACATCCATTATAAATATTTAAACCATCCAATGAACTTTCTTTAAAAATAAAAGAATAAAATTAGTTGGAAAACATTTGTTGAAGAAGTTCTGGCATTAATTTTGGAGGGTGCTCTCAAGTTACAGTAAGAGAGAGTTATAAGCCTAGTTGCGAGCAGGCATCGGACCTGCGACTTCCTGAAAGTCTTTGCGATTTTTGGGTCTCTCGCCAAGTTTAGATGCACTACGACTGAGCTTCTGAGGCACTATTTTCAGCTGCTCTTTTAATAGACCTTAAACTACCTAGTACTAAGTGTTTTAGTTTACAGCCAGCCGGATCTCCTATCCTTTCTCCCTTAAACTAAAGTTAGAATGTACTATAAGACATACCCTTATGGCTGAAAAGATAGCTTTAATCGAGGGTAGTATTTAAATTTTCGTTTTCTCGAATCTATTTGAAGTTCCAAAAATTTTGAATATCTCAACTCATATTTATGCCAAGTTTTATTCAAAAAAATTTAAAGTCAAAAGAATAAGAAAACATTTTTTCCTTTATAAAATAAGTGCCAAAAAATTTTTCTTTACTTACTTGCATTCATTGCAGCACTAGATTCACTTAATTGTATTAAAGCTTGAAATGAATCTTTAAAAAATAAAAATATTTTAATTAATAATTTTGTAAACTTACTATTTTTATTGAAAGTTATTATGCGAAGGACTTTTCCAAAACGAGAAAATATCTTTAAAAAATTACAAATTATAATCTATTATTTAATTAAAGTGCCAAGCTAGCGCTCCTATATTGCGAGGATCGCCGTCCCGATTTTGAAAGATCAGAGATTTATTTATGTAGTTAGGATCCCTCTTACATAATTTGGGTTGGGGTTTCATACTCATTTTTTTCGGCTGTCTTTTATCGAGCCAAAATTCGATGCCCGACTTGACCATTCGGACCGGACAGGGCCCCCAACTCTATACATATATAATATTCATGTTTATAGATGTTAACTTGGTCGTTCAGCCTAATCGCTAACTCGATATCTGCCTATTGTTTAGTTATGCGGCTTCAAAATTGAATTCTTATAAAATTTTTAAACATCTCTATAGTTTTGTAGTAAAGTTAGGCACAGCTTTCTCCTTACCTCGTACAAGTACCCTACAAACTTCAGTGTTTCTTAATAAGTCTTAACCCTCGTCTAGAAAGCGTATTAATTCTATCCAGAGGGAACTTCTTTCTTCCTTATAACAATTATACTTATGGGCCCCATATTAAATGAAATAAGCAAAACAAACCATAAAAAGAACATCTAAAGTAACCGGGTAAAGCATACATTCAATTATTATGCGCTAAAAATTTTGAGTTTAATAATATTTAATACAAAATATTAAACCAAAATTGAATTAGGCTGATTTTGAACACCACTAGATAAATCTTGGTAACTTTGAGAAATAGGTCCTCCATTCATTGTTTGTATCAAACGATTTCCATCCGGATTTGTTGAAAATTTCTAATAAAATTTATGTTTTTTCTAAATTAACTAATTAAAACATTAGTCTAATATTTTTTGGATTCTTAAAAAGCATTGGGGTCCGTCCAATGATTTTTTTGAGCAAAAGGATTCGTGTATAGTTCAGGACCTACTGCGTTCTGTCTTAGTTCGTGCGTTAATTTAGTGATGGATTTGGTGTTTTATTATCGTTTGAATAACCTAACTAGGCACATGGAGAGCTTAAAAATTTTACAAACACCAATGACTTGAGACACTTCAAAGTATGTAGTATTAATGTAATAGACAAGGTCCGATGCTGTATCTATAGGATACACAATACTAGATAACCCTTACTTTAATCAGGTTAGCCACTAGGATGTTGAGCTATCTAAAAGGCTTGAGATTTTTTTAAATTTTTGACCAAAGTTATAGTCAGCTGTATTCCAATACTATTAAAAAAAATTTTTAACTGTAGGATCTCCATAACGAGCATAATCGTTAATCAACTCTCCCCCTCCAGTCCCATTATTCCGATCATTTCTTCCATTCTCATTAATTGGAATTCCATTTTCATCTTTAGGTGATGTTTGTAAATTATTATGGTTATTAGCTGCTGCTGCCGCGGCAGCTGCAGCAGCCATTGCAGCAACTTGTTGATGATGATGGAAGGTACTTAACATTTGTTGCTGTTGTTGGATAATTGAATTTGTATTGTTATTTGGTGGAGGCTGGATTAATTGTTGATGATTGACTATCTAAACAAGGGAAACTCGTCTTTAGATATCCCCAATATTATACACTCCAAGATCAAGTACCTTTTTTAATAGACGAATGAGTGGGGGAAATGCCTAAGCGATACCCCAATAGTAGGGCTGATCAAACCAAACCTAAGTAGGGTTTAGTTTCAAACCGAGAAACTTCCAATATTTCCAATATTAGAAAGTAGAACAATATTTTTATTATCCGCAATATTAGTAGACACTCCAATATCAGGTACCTCTCTTTCACATAAGTGAATGAGAGAGACTAAGCAGTAACCCTAAGTAGGGATTCGGTCTCAACCGAACAGAAAAAGCGAAGATTTTGGATTCGATTAACCAAAAAGTTTGGTAAAATTAACATCCCTACTCCTAAACGATAGCCCCAGTCTAATAGACACCTCATTGTAAGGAACGATTGTTCAGCTCTAATGGAGGTATAGAAAAATAATGTCTGATTGTATTGAAAGGATAAATAATTTTAAGTGTATGTATGTATAAATTAAATGTACTTTTCAGTCATTTAAATATTTAAAATATTTTGTTGAAAATTTATTTGTATACTCACCGGTATCAAAGCAGGTGCTGATGAGGAGACAATTGCCCCACCGCCAACAGCAGGTATTAACTGAGGGCACGCGAATCGAATTCTTTAAAAATTATTTTTAAAATTAACTATTAGCAATTACTGCTGGTTAATGACGAAAAGTAAGACTTGTCAGGGTAGTATGAAAAAATAAATTTCTGATTTCAGGATCGAAAACTTCGGGAAGTCCCTATGTGGACCTTGTATATTAAGTACCACACATTAAGTACCGTATAACCTGTATTAATAGCCCTCCCTCAAATAATTACCCCAACTCTATTAATTACTCCCTCTAGCGGCAGATCGAAACAATAATTATCCTCCCTCGAATAATAAAGGATATACGATATTGCACAGTGAAAAAATATGCAACTGGATCTGGATAAGAAGGTTAATATATCCAGAGAATTCAGGGATTTCGAAACCGACGATTTCCTTCAATCCAGAAGTTCTACCCAAAAATCATTAATTAAAAGCTTAAGCAAAAGTCGCTCTACCATTCTCTAACTCTTAACAATTTCACCTTTTCGCAGCAATTTCTTGTTGCTGCTGGTGTTGATGAGCCTGTGCTGCTGCTACAGCCGCCGCCGCTGCTGTTTGTAAGCCAACCAGGCCGCCTTGGGTGGCCGCCGCTTGCTGAAGCAAATTTGTTTCAGCCAGTTTTAGGGCACTATTTTTAACGAGGCTTTCAAGGCCACTTTTACTAGTGCAGTTAATATTATTTAGCAACTAGAGAAAATTAATTAACTTAATTTTTTAAAATTATTTTTTTTTATTTTTTTTACTTTTTGACAAAATGTTGGGAAGGAAAATAAAAGTTTATTGTTTTTATTGTTTTGTTGGGGACGTTTTTGGCCTGTGAAAAAAAAAATTATTTTTTTCTAAAAATTATTTTTAGCAAACCAGGAATTAATATTACTGTACTGCTTGCTGACGTAGTTAAATTTTATTAGATAAAGTTTAAATTTAAGAAATTTTAATTTTTAATTTAATTATTTTCTTAAACTGAATTGTTAGAAAATAAATTAATAAAAGAAGGTTGAAGACATTATTAAACAAAAATAATTAAGGGAAAATAAATTTAGGTTGAAAAATTAATAAAGAAGGTACTTCGGAAGTTACTTATAAGGGTCTTTCGGTCCTGAAAGTTTAGAGGGCGACAACTAGGGATGGTCGCTTAATCAACTAGGGATGTCTCTTCAACTAGGGATGGTCGCTTAATTAAGTTTTAAAATTATTATTTTAAAATTATTATTCAAGAAAATCATAGGATCACTATGATTTCCTATACTTAGAAAAAAAAATAAGGAAAGTGCTGCAGAAGGTCTTTTCTTTCAAGTTTTGAGGGCGATCAGAAATTATTTTAGTTAAATCGCTACCTTTAAATTCTTAATACCCTTCATCTACAGCCAGACCCCACATCAACGATAGCCTCATTTTAATGACAGATAGTTTTCTGTCCGAGTGGTTTTCTACAGGTTAAATCCGTGGAGTCCGGCATTTACCTTACTTTATTAACATAAATAAAGAGGAAATTTCAAGCCCAAGGAGGGTTTCTTAAAACAATTTTTATACTTATAAATATTTAAAAAAATGCTAGAAATAAGCAGAAATTCTTAAAATTAAAAAAAAGTTTTTTTTAATTTTCTAAACATAAAATAATAAAATTTAATTTTATCCATTTAATTTTTAACATAAAAACTACTAGTCCCTAAACATAAAGCCATTTACTCTTTTTCTTTTCCATTTTTTAAAATTTAATAGCTGATTAAATGAATATACATAAATGACTATTGAAAATCTAAAACGCACGCGCTTTCCCATTAAGCAGCTCTGCCAACATAGCTACCTATAGCCATGTCTAGTGACTTGCGCGAAAATGTTTTTTTTGTTTGACTGTCTTTCCTTTTTAATAAAAAAATTTTTTTCTTTTTTGTATGTTTTTTTTTTTAATTTTTTTTGTTTAAAAACATAAGGGTATTGGTTTAGAAATTTCAAAACTTAAGGGTTTGAAGGCAAGCCTTAGGGGGGTTTTAGTCTGATTGGATTATACTACCCCGGTCAGTTACGTATCTTATTATGTCCGAGGGTTGTCCGAGATTTAACTAATGTCGACGTGCACAGGAATAATAGCTTATCCATGTGGAAATGTACAATGAAGGCGGAGGTGGAAAGAGCTGGAACAGACGAAGGAGATCAGTGACTAACTCCGCTAGTATGATCCAACTAGACTGACACATTCAAATACTATAGTGACACCACTACACAATAGATCTCATTTGTCTGATCCAGCCTTAATCCACCTTCTCTTGCAAGGTTACTTTCTACTTTGGATAAATTTTTATTTTTGTGCTCGTTGAATTTGGCAAGTATCGGACAGGTCCAGGACATAATAAATACTACATGACGTCCAAAAATTTGTCAGGAAAAAAAATATTTCAAAAGTATTCGGAAAACATTATTTAGTAATATTTCTAAAATAATTCTCTAATAGAAATACAAATTCCAAATAATTTAAAGTTACCTAATTTAAAAATTTTAAATTAATTTCTTTGAATTTTAGAACCTTTAATTCTATCATTTTTGAGAGTATTGCGTGACTGAAAAATTGGAATTTGGAGAAAACCTCCAGAATAATGCAAGCTCAGTCAAAACATTAGAATCTTTAGAATTCTAATCTGTAATACTTATTTTTATTTTTGTAAGGTCAGATAAGTCCTATTGAATTTTTTTAGTACTTTCTGGGTTCTTTTTTATTTAAAAAAAAATTTTTTTTATTTTGTCATCCAAAAATGTGTCAAAAAATAAATTATTTGTTAGTTTCCACTAAATTAAACCCTTTTATTTGTTTTTTTTCTGAGTGACTTCATTTTCATTATTATTAAATTTATTTTTCTAAAAGGCCTTAAAGCCAAAACAATGCGCAATTGTTTAAAAATTAAAGGGGAAATGGAGTAAAATCCTTAAAAGGAATTTATGGAAAAAAGAAGAAAAAGTTGTAAGCTGCCGGATATTTCTCTATGGTTTTATGTGAAAGTGAGCGAGTCTGACAGCTTTTGGAGGGTAAATGACAGGATGGCGCAAAGCGGCAAAAAAAAGAAAGATGGGGGGCACAGACCTTAATTAAATGGAGGCATCGAGTCGAGAGTCGGCCAACGTAGAGGAAGAAAGGGAAGAATAATACTATTAGAAGGATATAAATGACTGTGAAAAAGGACGGGAATGATGAAAGGAAGGGAGGGATGGAGACTAGTAGAAAATAATATATTGATGGAATGTGCCAATAGCGCAAATGTTTAAAGGGAGGAAAACAAAAATAATAAAAAATGAAAGGGAAAGAGGGCAAATTAATATTTTATTTATTAACGTGAAGCTGCGCGAGAATTTTTGCCTTGAATAAATTGTCTGGGTGAAAGGCAAAAAAAGGAAAAGCATGAAGAAATGAGAGGGGCATGGGAATGAAAGGCATACGTGAAGCATGCGCGGATAAGAAATCGACTTATAAAGTAATTAAGTAATTTCATAAGAAAAAAAGAGAGAGAGGAAAGGATTTATTGCACTTTTAAGACTTTAAAAAATTTAAAAATTACATCAGAATTTAAAAGTAAATAGAATTTTGAAATTTAAAGAATTGTATTTTAATAATGTAGAGGAGTTATTCGCCAGGGAAGGGTTCTATTCAAATTCCGTCTTCTACAGGATTTCAGATTTTTAAAACGCGGCAGGGAAAAAAATTTAGATTTTTAAAACGGTCAGAGGTATCGGAAATCGAAAGAGCCGGAAATCGTAACTGGCTCAAAAGTCGAGCTCGGAAATCGGAACTCAAAAATTATACTCCAATCTATCCCAACTCTGCTTGGCACTATAATTAGATAGTCTCAATTGCATGGATATATTAATGAAGGTGCGCTTACTCTTCAGGATTTATAAAATAAAATCTACATTAAGGGATATTCTAAATTCCTAGTTAAAAATTAAATTTATTTTTATTTAGGCAATTTCAAATTTGAGTGTGTGAGATAAAAAAAAACATTTAATTGGGGTAATGAAACTTTGAGAGGAAGAGATTGGAATTTATTTTTGAGAGATTGTTTTTATTTTTTATTATTTTTATTATTCTCTAATAAAGAATTAACATAAAAATGGAAAAATTTAATAATTTAAATTTTTATTGAGGGTGAAGGGGGATTAAATTAGAGAATAAAGGGAGAATGAGAGAACGATTATTGAGGGAGGGAGAGAGATGGGAGGGAGGGAGGGAGAGTGGGGGAATGTTGAGGCGCTGCAACTTTTGATTAGTCGGTGAATGAGAGTGTGTGTATGTTATTTTGAATAT